TCCATGGGGATCCATAGGGGTGTCTCCGCTACACATGAACCTTTTCCCTTAACAGTCTTAATTACATAGCCGACCTCATATCCCGTCTGGTATGAGCACCAAAACATTAAACCCCAATACTCCGTCCGGTATGAATGTGTAATGGGCCGTTTCCATACTCCGTCCGGTAAAAGCACTAAATTACTAGGTCTCCATACCCGTTCGGTATGAGACAACGTTCACGGTAGGGCTCCCTATGAACCCGGTCCGTCCACCATCTCTCAGGATATCTAGTGAGGCTGTCATCTTATTTGTTTATTAGATCGCATCCCTTTCCTGTTTTCCCTTAGTCTCCGTTACCAAATCAAATATTATCACATAAATAAATAAACATGCATCCGACAATGCAATCATATCTTAGATCCCAGAATCAAACAATGGTCAAGTAAGACAATAATACATATATTTAAACAATAAAATATATAAACCAGAAACCATTATGCTTTTAGACTGCAAGATCAATCAATAGAAATCAAACAGTGGTCAAGTAAGGCAATAATACATGCATTTAAATCATAAAATAGATAAATTAGAAACCATTATGCTTTTAGACTGCAAGATCAATCAACAGAAATCAACAGAGAACAATGTTCGGTTCAGGCTCCATTAGCAATCTGTAGTTAATTATGCACATTTATTTAATTTGTACAAAATATAGGTATTATCATTTATTCAAACTTCAATTCCATGATAGGAAATAAGGTGAGGGGTCCTTACTTGATTTGACGCTGAAAAGCTAAATGGTTTACTACACCTATGGGCAGTCCCTAGGTTCCCTGAATTTTTCTTCGGGAACTGAAACGCGCTTCCCGTACCTACAAATATCTCAAATAACCCAAAAATCAGTTCCAGGGCCTACTCAACCAATTTTGAAAATCCAGCACAGCGGCTCCGCCGCTTGCGGCTGCGATTTGTCTCGAGTTAGCTATTTTTTAGCTGAATTCAGCCAAATTTGCATCAGTTCCTGTGAAAAAATACATTTAGGGCCCTCGATGGGTCGAAAAAAACATAGAAAATCGAAACTCACCAGCGACGGGGCACTCCGATGCGGTGGCTCCTCTGGCTCACGCTTCGGTTGGGTGTTTTGCTCTGGTCAACCTGTAGAGAAGGAAACGGTGATCACAATGGTGGAAAAATCACATCGAACGGGAATCAGAAAGGGCCTCATCGAAGGCATTTTTTGAAATACCCCGCGGCGGCGGCGTCGAGCTTTGCCAGCGTTTTCCGGCCAATTGGCCGGTCCTTTTGCTCCGATTTGGTAATGAGTGTGTTTAAAATTAAAATTTGAGTAAAGGGTGAAATTTTTAACTCGTTTGACGGTCAGAAATTGCTTCGGTGCAGCGGCGGGTGGCGGTAGTCGGCTCCCCGGTAGCTGGGCTGTCTTCTCCGGCGAGGTGCTCTGGTGGCTAGGGTTAGGGTTTGGGTGCGGATTGGGTTATTTATACCTATCTGCTTTTAATTTGGACCATCTATCGTTTTTTATTTGGACCGTCCGATTGCGATTAAATGGGAAGTGAATCTGTCCGTTCATTGCAATTCAATCTGAGCCGTCCGTGCGCAATTTCAATCTGGGCCGTCTGTGCGTGCGGGAACGAACCTCAGCCGTTCGATCGTGAGCGCGCGAATCGCTCACGTGGCTCCCCCTGCATGGCCTCCCATGTCAGCGCCTTTGCCACCTGACGCGTTCTGGTTGGTCGGGGCTGCTGACCGGACATCTAACGTAGATCAATTTTTTTAAATTATATTTTGACTACGGTTTCTGATTTTTCTTTTAAAATATTTATAAACCTAAATTTTCACAATTTTTTCCAAATTATTTCCAATTTAATACTTAACAAATTTTTTTCACCCTTTTTATTATTA